GCACCCCCCGCTCCCCCAAGGCACTCACACCACTTACCTGTTACTTGCTTGTTTGGTTTTATCTTCCTCACTAAACCTTAAGTTCTGTGAGAACAGGAACCAACTGTTTTGTTCACCATTATATTTTCAGCTCCTACATGACGGGGGGCGGGGAAAAAAGAGAGAACCTAAATATACAAAGACCACACATCACCACTTTCTCCCTTACCTTCCAGACTGAGGACGCTGGTAAATAATAATGAGTCAATAATGTGAATCAGAAAACATGACTGTCTCTTCTTGCATTTAATTTTAAAAAATAAATATATAAGTACTTTCAAATTATAAGAAATGACTCATATGCATGTGAAAGTAACTGCATGTTTGGAGGAGTAGCTTCTCATAGTTTAATGGACTGAAATTCAGGATTTCCCATGAACTTTGCAAAAACTTACAACGCTTCTCTCCACCCATCCTCCAATGTGCTCAGCTTTCTCATCTCAGACTTTCCAAATAATGAAATCTCAGCTATTTTTGACTTGTACTTGTCACTTACTCTGTCATCTGACTTATTGCTAAATACGTGTATTTAAATCTTGCCCAGTAAGTTTCTTTTCCTTTGTTCCTAAAGCTACCATTATAGACTTGAGTAATTTCCTGTCTGAATTACCATAATCTCCTCCTTTCCTGTCCTTTTCCATTGTCAGTCCTTACCACTCCCACCAATTTTCTTCATCTATTCAGTTAATCATGACAATTCCTCCCTAAATTCCCCAACATAAGTTTCTGGGACAATAATTCTCAATTTCTATAAATTTTGAACTACAGTACTTCTAAAATCTTTCACTTTTCTCCTTCTATCTCTTTAAATGTTATTTGAATTTGTTTCTGATCATTCCAATCTAAAATCCTTAGGAGTCTGGTACCATATGTGTTGGCTCTGCCGACCCTTGCACAGGAGTTTCATGGTTTCTGACGATGAGCTCAATTGGGAGTGTCCCAAAGGATGAGATGAAGGGTGACCCATTCCGGGAGGGCCTGTATTTATTTTTGCTGGGCGCTCTGACATATAACCAACCCAGGCCAACTTTAATTTCTTGGCTTCAGGTTTGCCAGCGCATGTAGATATGTCAATTTGAATCCTGAATCTGGGCGATGCAGACCCTGTAGCTTGATATAGTAGGCAGCCAGGCAGAATGGACAGAGCAGGAGCCATAAGCCCTGCTACAAAAGGTCACCAGGTGGAAAGCTCTGGAGATCTAGCAACAGGCAGAACTGGGAGGACAAGTATTGCAGGGTGGGACCTCGCCCCCAGGGTGGCCTTTTCTCCCCTAACACGACACTGGTCATGCACTTTAGACCCCCTGACCTTTCATATCGCAGGTCATGGTCAGACCCTCCCCTGACATGTCGCTAGTCATGCCGTAGACCCCCTAGAGGAGGAACGGGGGCCGGAGAAAAGCCTCATAGGACTCCCAGACAAGCCCTTGCACAACCACTCCCATAAGCATGAAGCCTTCAAGACAACGAGGTTCTGGCCCGCATCAAATAATCTTAGGAACAAAGCCCCAGGTCCGCTGACCACAGAGACAGTTTTGGTTTAACGAGAGATAATATCTAGGCCTCAGTTGTGTATCAGCTCCAGGCCCAGAAAGTATCAAGGCCAGGCAGGGCAACATGGGCCATGGCCATGGACCAGCTGTGGTGACTAAAGCCCCCCTGCCCTGGGGGCGACCAATCAGTGCAGACCACAACCCTCAGGAGACACACCTGGAAAGCTGAAGAATATTCTATTGAGGTCCTCCCCTGAGTCCTCCAGAGACAAGCCCTTAAGATAAAGGACCAGCAGGCGTAGACTTTCCCTCTCTGCAGAACTTTCCCCTCTCCGTCCCCAGGCGCGTTTCCTTTGCCTTTCTGTCTCCTAAGTTTCCTGAGTTCATGCAGCTCACTGCTTCCTCGCTCACTTTTGCGGCCTGTGCTTTTCCAAATAAACGTTCACTTGTATTTGAGTTGCTTGGCTCTGAATTCTTTTCTTAGCTGAACTCAAGAACCAAGATCTGACACCTGGTGCTGTTCCCTGTTACAGTTTCTGTCCTCCAGGAACAGTTTGTTCGGAGACGGTACCTTTATTTCCACCACCTGGAGCTACGTGAAAACATTTCTTTGTGATCTCCCTTTGTCAAGGAGGTATTTTTCCTAGCCCACCTTTCACTAAGTTTGTAGAGACTTTTGAGGGTTCTAGCTAAATTTGGGGGGAGGGGCTTGTCCAAGGCCGTGAGTTGTACAATTTCAAGTAGAAACATTTACATTTTACTTTTTATGGAAAAGTCATCCCTTGAAACACAGGTACCGTTTAGGTGAATAAACACAGGTACTACCACGTGAATGGTGCCTCCAGAAGTTGTACCCCTGGGAGGTCAAAGGGAGATGACTTTCTCTCTCTACTTGGGGGGGCCGGGGGGAGGCTATCACCTATCTCCAGCTGTGCTTCCTTTCTGCTATCAGCCAAATGCCCCCAAAGGAGACACATTGCTAGTTTACTACTCTGGTCTCAGCTCTCTCTTTGACTTTTTAGCCCTGAGGATTTCCCTTTCTTTCCCGCAAGACCTGCTATGCATTTAAAAGGCTAATATAATTTATTCAGCATTTAGGTGTTTTGGCAAAATGGATTTTCAAAACATTTTGTCCACCCCATTGCTAGAAGCATAACCTCCTCCTCATTTGATCCTTTGTGCATGTCCAAATCCTTCCTAGTCTTCAAACCTGAGCTTGAAAACCACTTTTCACTCGCAACACCTTCCCTAATCCCTCTGCACCTGGAAATAAGCACCCGGGGCCTCAGAGAACACTGAGCATTTGCACGTCTCTTACAGCGCACTATCCTCCACAGGAGGAAACTGTAGGAGGGCGTTTTAAGTGGATAAAATCGTTAATGGGGACTCCACTTCTCCACCTGAGCACTGCAGAGGGCTTTGCTCAATAAATATTTTATGAATGAACAAACAGCCCAAACCAAATCCTCTTAAACCCCAAAAAGGTTCGTAATTTTTCTGTTTCAGTAAACAGTATCACCATTTTCCCAGATTATCCAGATTCCAAGATCTCAAAGTAACCTCACATGCTGTCACTGAACGATGGCAATTCTACCTCCGGTCATTTGCAGCCATTCTTCCTCCCAGTTCTCAAGTCAGAGTTTCAACTCTATCTGCGGAACTACTTTTCTCCTTCCCCTCCGTCCATTCCGCATGCACTGCCAAATTAACATTGCTACAACATTCTTCTGTTCAAAAACTTGTTTTTATAAAATTGGACAAACTTGGACAAGCTTCTTTAACTTCCCTGAACCAGTTTTTCCTTTGAAAAATGGCATAATATTATTGGCAAAGGCTGCATTGTCCATCACAGTAATCAGAAGCCACAGGTGGTTATTTAAAATTTCAATTGACTGAAATAAAGTAAAATTTTAAATTTTAGTTCCTTAGTCACGTTAATGACATTTCAAGTACTCAAAAGCCGCCCGTGTCTAGTGACTACTGTATAGGACAGTGAAAATAGTATATTTTCATTCTTGTGGAAAAGTTCTATTGGACTGTGCTAGAAGGTTATTACTGGGAGTGCACTGACATAGCACAAGTAAAGAACTTAACACATTGCTGACATAAACAGTAGCTTTTAGAATTAACTGTTAAATGTTCTAATACTCGCTTCATAGAGGTTTATTGAAGAATTAAATGAGATAATATACGTAATAGGTGATATGGATAATATACTGTCATAGGGGTCAATAAGTTTGTTCCTCTTTTAGAATATAAAAGATGAATTACCTGTTTTAGTATCAGTCTTCAAATCTGCCCAAACCTGCCCCTTTTGAAGAGCCTGAAAACCACATACAAAGAAAATCAGAGATTGTTCAACCCACATGCTTTTAAACACATACAATTTCAAGTCAACACACCAATATTGTTCATGGGCAGAACACTATGCTATAGGATTATTAATAGGTTATTTTCCCAATAGAGGTGATACTTGTGTGTTTCATAATGATGTTGTACCATCTAGAAACAAGTATTTTAAGTCTAGGATATCAATTCTCTGATCCTTTTTTATATTAGACACCTTTCACTGACCTCAGAAAGGATAAAAGAAAATACAAAAACAACAAGTTTCCCCTACAGGATAAACAAAAATGCAAAAAGAATAATGGCCTATTAAGCAAGATAAAGCACTATTTTTTGTGATGCAATGGAAAGAATGCAGCTATGTTATCAGATTTATCTAAGTGCAAATCTTAGCTTTATCATGTTCCAGCTGTATAATTTCAGGCAAGTTACTTAGCTTCTCTGAGTTCCAGTATTCTGACTTGTAAAGCAGCAATCTAAAAGGGTTTTTCCTTAGAGTTGAACCCAGTAAACATAAATATAATAATGACAGATGACATCAATTTTGTACAGCATAACTAGCCACAAGGATGGGAAATGACAACACTTAATTCTCTGTATACATGAGTCACCTTGGATTTGTCGCTCCTTAGGTTTTGAGAGTTCTAGCTGTTTCCACTGACAATTTAGAGAAGCAGGGCTTGAAATGTTGCCCAGTTTGCTGACAACTGAGAAATTTCAGCGTACCAATTAGGGGAGGAAGATGAGTATTGCCCCGTATTTTCACACTAGAAAAATGGAAGCATGGCTGCCAATCAAGCAAAGTAAGAATTTTAATGGTTAAGAATTTAAGAAACCTGCTCAGCTGGTGTGGCTCAGTGGTTGAGTGTCCACCTATGAATCAGGTCACGGTTCAATTCACAGTCAGGGCACATGCCTGGGTTTCGGGCTCAGTCCCCAGTGTGGGGTGTGCAGGAGGCAGCCGATCAATGATTCTCTCTCATCATTGGTGTTTCCATCTCTCTTTGTCTCTCTTCCTTCCTCTCTGAAATCAATAAAAATATATTTAAAAAATAATAATTTAAGAAACCTTTTAAAATCCTCCAAAATATGCAGGAATAACCTTCACATGGCACGATGAGTTTAAGAAAATGTTCTTGCATCTCTCACCTATGTTCTCTGCTTTCTTTGACGATCGATGAATCAGAACTGCAGCTAAAATTTTCAAATTTCATAAATATTGAAATGCCACTGGAAATAAGATGAATTCCTTATGCTGTCTCCTTTAAGTGGTGACTGAGAAATGATAAAAATAATTCTATTTTTTTAATAAATCTTTTTTTTTTAAATTCTCCCAAGGATATTTTTCCATTGATTTTAGAAAGAGTGGGAGAGAGAGGAAAAGACAGAAATATCGACGTGAGAGAAACACATCGATTGGTTGCCTCCTGCACGGGCTCGGCTTGGAAGGAACCTGCAACCGAAGTAAATGCCCTTGACTGGACTCGAACCCAGGACCCTTCCGTCTGCAGGTCGACGCTCCATCCACTGAGCCAATCTGGCTAGGGCAAGAAAGAAAATTCTAGGTGTTCCAAGTGAAGACAGAAAGCCCTGGGGGTACACAGAACCATCAGGTGCAAAGCATAATAGAAAATGATTATTTTTCTAAACATTCTAAGTTGGACTTCTGACAAATGAAATGTTCTTGTAATGATTAAATCCTAGATGTCTAGGAGGCCACGCAAGTTTTAAAATAAGTTGGATCAAATATCACAGGTAATTGGGGGAGAATCTGGTGCACTGCAAATTACAACACTGCATCTGGGAGATCTGGAAAAAAAATCATTTGCGTTTTCACATGTGCCTTACAGTAAAGCCTGTTGTGGATACAAAGACTTGCCATTTAGCCCTAACTGGTTTGGCTCAGTGGATAGAGCGTCGGCCTACGGAGTCCCAGGTTCGATTCCGGTCAAGGGCATGTACCTTGGTTGTGGGCATATCCCCAGTAGGGAGTGTGCAGGAGGCAGCTGATCGATGTTTCTCTCTCATCGATGTTTCTAACTCTCTGTCCCTCTCCCTTCCTCTCTGTAAAAAAAAAAAAAAAAATCAATAAAATATATTAAAAAAAAGGACTTGCCATTTACCTGTCAGTATTGGGCTGCCCCGCCCCCCAGGACAGAACTTCGGGTAGCAGCCCCGAGCGCCGCGTAAACACAGCGGGTCACCACAGGTCTCCATTCCACCCCCTCCCCGCGCCCACACCTCCCCGCCTGGAATCCGAGCCCAGGAGCGACGACGGGAACGCAAACTCCACCAGTTTTTCGCGGGACGGAGGCAAAGGTTCCCGGTCACCGCAGGAAACAAACGAAACCGGGGAACTGCACGTTTCGACAACGGCCGCCTTCCGGAGCCGCGGGCACTTGGATGCCGACCAGGGCTGGGCTTCGCCTGGGGCCGGGAAAGG